CAGCCCGATTCATAACCACTACGCTACCAGAGCTCCTTACCATATATATATATGTATGTAAATAGAGCATTAAGAAGAGTCTATATACCTATCGGAGTCCTGGTGTGGCGCTGTAGGATCAGCACTGGACTGCTGACCACAAGGTCAGTGGCTCATAACCACCAGCTTCTCCTTGGAAACCCTATACATGGTCGCTATGAGTCAGAACCAACTTGATGGCACTTAACAACAACAACAACAACATATACCAGTCAGGAGGCTCAAAGTTTGATGGTAGATAAACTGGCCCCACAAGGCACCTGGGGAGGACAGACACCATTTCTGGGAGGAAGGTCGAACTTAAGCTTCTGCTTACTTATCAATGTCTCTCATGACAATTGCAGCCAGTGGAGGGCATGAGACCACTGAGCAAGTCATACCAGAATGAGCAGATTCACGTTTTGCTGTTAACGAGGCCTGGTGGTCATTGTTAGTTACAGCCGAGTTGATGCTGACTCGTGGTGACCCCAGTGCTATAAAGCAGAAGTGCTCCATGAACTTTTCTTGGCTTTAATTTTACTGAAGCAGACCACTTGGCCTTGTTTTTTATTTTGGAGGGATTGCTGGGTATGTTCAAGCCACCGATCCTTAGGTTACAGTTGAGTGCAAACCAATTTTGGACCTAGCTGACCCTTAAACTCTGTCTATTCTCCAGGTCCCCATGAACCGTGGCTCCATCTCATTTGTGTGAAACTGATGATCTTTACAATAAATCCAACCCTACAAATATATTTGAGCTAGATGGAGTAATTCCCTTTTCTTTACACCCAAAGAAAGACTTCCTAAGGCAGGGAGGCCAAGATAAGTGGAGAATTTATTTCAATACAATGTGGTGACCTCAGCTTCCTTACAGGTATCTGTACTTTTTTCTTTGTCCGTTTCAAGGTGATGGAGCATGATGCAGAGTAAGAAACAAAACTAAAAAACAGCACCATATTTATGCCATTATGAAAAACAATGTTTCCAGAACAATTGGAGCCCCTAGAGACCCCACATCGACAATATCATGAAATCTTATATCTGTTATTTTTCAGATTTTGAGAAGGAAAAAACCATCTAGAATGTTCCTGCAACATGTAATTTGCAGTAAAGAGCAGATAAGCTATAACCAATTTGCTCGTTATATTGGAATGTTAAATACGGTAAACGATTCCATAAATTGTGCATTTATTCAAAGATGTAACCTCATGGTGGTCCTAAGTAAACAATATCTAGAAAGCTAAAAAAGTGCTCAGTTCCAAAAATATATTTTTAGATAAAATATTTGAAATGATGACGAAGAGGAACTACTTTCAAAATAGAATGCAATTCTCTTTGAAGAGACAGTATTGTAGTTGAAACTATGCTTTCTTTAAGATCATATGCCTTTTACTCGGAGTCCTGGTGTGGCGCTGTGGGTTAGTGCGCCAGACTGCAAAGCCATTTGAACTGCAAGGTCAGTGGTTTAAGCTCACCAGCTGCTCCTCGGAAACCCTATCCAGGGTCGCTATGGGTCAGAACCGACTCAATGGCACTTAACAACAACAACAACCTTTTATTCAGGAGAAGCATTAAAATTGGGATATGTGAGCACATATTACATTTAATCTAGTAGCTAACACAACGGACTGTGATCTACAAGGTCCGCGGTTCGAGCCCGCCAGACACTCTGCAGAAGAACGATGAGGCTTTCTGTTCCCGAGAATATTTAAAGCCTTGGAAACACTATAAAAGTCACCATGAGTTGGAATTGACCTCACTTAACAACAACAGGGCTTAGAGAAGTGTTCTTTTTAGCAGGGATTTTTGCTCTCTATAAAAAATATAGCCTTTAGAAAATGTCATTTTCTCTTTTGTAAATGCTTTAGTAAACCATATAAATTTTGAAGCAAGAAAAATTTAGCATTACTGCAAAATTATATATTCTTATCGTAATATGTTGTTAAGTACTGTCGAGTTGGTTCTGACTCATAGTGACCCTGTATGTAAATCTTTGTGGGAACAGAAAATCTCCTCTTTCTCCTGACAACCTTGTGGTCAACAGTTCAGTGCTTATCTCACAGAGCCCCAAGCTCTCTATAGTAATATTGTTGTTGTTGTTGTTATGTACCGTGGAGTCGGTTCCGACTCATAGCAACCCTGTACAGGGTTTTCGAGGCTGTAAATCTTTATGGGAGCAGAAGCCTCATCTTTCTCCCGCGGAACAGCTAGTAGTTTCTAACTGCTGATCCTGAGGTTAGCAGCCTAATTCATAACCACTACGCTACCAGAGCTCCTTAAATAGAACCACCAATATTCAATTTTTAATGTAAAAACTGTGCTAAACTAGAGAGTCAAGGTCAGGCATGTAACTACATGTAATGCCAATTTAGCATATTAAAATAAAAAGCACTGTTGTTGTTACAGGCCTTCAAGTTGGTCCAACCCATAGTGACTCTGTATAGGGTTTCCAAGGAGCAGCTGGTGAGCTTGACCCTCCGACCTTACAGTTTAAACTGACTTTGCAGTCCTGTCCATTAACCCACAGCACCACACCAGGACTCCAAAAAGCATTGCATACAAATGCTTTTAGAGCGTTTTTATTGATTAATTATTGAAATTCATTTAAATAAATTTCATTCATTTGTTGTTACTGACTCAGGCATTGAGAATCAGGCTTTAAAATGGAAGTGTTATAGTTATAAAATGCAAGATTCTCCATGGATAATGTGGCAAAATGAAAGTGGATGACATAAATGAGTAGTACAGTTAACATGCTAAGTGAACAGGAAATACACTTTCTTCTCTTGTGCACAAGTTGGTTCAGTTGTGCGTTTTCCAGAAATTATTCTGATCTCTTAACGCTTCTATATATGAAAACACAGAAGAATAGCTCACCTGTAACACACATGCAACCTAATGGAGCAATGAGAGTAATAGGGGCAAATCCATAGGCTGCAAAGTTGCCAATCTCTCCCACAGCCATGAGTACGACTCCTCCCCACCATGACACGCTCTTGAAGAGTGGCCTCGGGTGTTCTTGGTGAGCCAGCTGAAGATGAGAATATTTCTGGAAGTAAATCAGAATGTAAATAAGAAAGCATTCCAACACAATTATATAGTGTCTTGACATTTTTATGGTGAACATTATACAATGTGTGTCATGGCTTTTAAATGTATTTGCAGATTATTACAGAGCAACTATTACGGTTTCATGTTTGTTCCAAACATATGAATAGCAGAAATGACTCATATATACAAGGATTTCATATAAGGGTTTTATGCCTGTTCACATATTGCATACTGCTTAATTCTCATCACAACACTGTAAATAAGTCTCATTACTATTACCGTTTAAAGATGAGATGTATGCTGAAGAGTTAAGGGAATCTTTAGCTCATGACATCAAAACCCTTCTTTTAGAATGTCTAAAAATTCAGATGCCAAAATAAACATTAGTGAGCTAAAGGTAATAAAATACTAAAGAGAAATATTTAGTAAAACTGGGTCAAAAACCTTGATACGATCGGTAGGTCAGAGTACTTTGGTGGTAGGGGCTGAAGATCACCCTAATTTAAACCAGGATTATATTTAAAACATAAGTTCCTGAAAAACTGATTATTGATTACTCATAAAGCTCCAGACTGAATTATATTTGTCTTTATGTCAATGCAGCCATTAAAAAGATATATACTATTTTTTACATAAAATTATATTTGACAATATAATTAAATATTTTATCTGTTATTTTTCAGATTTTGAGAAGGAAAAAAACATCTAGAATGTTCATGTAGGTGAAAACCAGATACTCTCTCTCTCTCTCTCTCTCTCTATATATATATATATATACATAAACATAAGCACTAGACCACAAGGTCCATTTGAACTGCATGGTTGACTCACCAGCCACTCCTTGGAAACACTATACAGAGCCGCTATGGTTCAACAGCACGTAACAACAACATATATAAACATACACATAAGAGAGCAAGAGAGAGAGAGAGTGTGTGTGTGTACATATCTATATCTATATAAAATAAAAGAGCCCACAGAGACAAAAGTGCTCAGTATCCATGGAAGTCAAAATATGGCCCAGAATCAAACTCTGGAGTTAAGAAAAAAAGGCTTTTTTTTTTTTTTTTTTTACCTGAATATTTAGAGAAATGCTGATTATCAAGTTTCCTAAAACAGCCAACAAAACTCCAAAAAGGTGAATCTGCAAAATAAAACAGTTTCTTTAAAATGGTATTTTAAATAGTTTTTATAAGATAGGATTTAGGCATGGAGTGGTGTGGAGGGTGAGAGACAGATTTAAGCTTGTGCCTTCACTTCTACATTCTGTTCATTAATTCAACCAAACATTTACTTAACACCTATCTGTCAGGTTGGTTTGAAAAATGAAGATGGTTGGAATATAAACATTTCGTCAAATAATATTTTTTAGAAATAGCTCAGTCTTGAACTGAATTCTCAGGATATTTGACATATTCACTAAAATAAAAAAAAGTAGTCACCAGGTATTGGCTTTCTCCAACTAGTATGCTTCTTATTTATGCTTTTTGTCTATCTTCCTCAGGGATTACTCTGGGATTTAATAAATGCTTGCTTGAAAAAGTATACAATGGGTCCAATACAATGATGCCATCAAAGAATGGAATGCATAACTTTGTCACAGATGTCCTCACTCTTTTCCCTCAATATATCCTGGAGGACTGTGGTATAAAGGAAAGAACTTTGGACTTGGATTTGAAGGATGAATCTAAGATTCAGATCTGCTACTTTCTACCTGGGTGACCTTGAGACCCTCAGCTTCAGTAAAAAAGATGATATTGGATTCTAGTCCTTTTACCTCTAAAGTCCTATGACTTTCACTGTAGACAGACTAGTCTTCCATACCACTCCCCTAGTCAAGACCCTATAACGTCTCTCTAGAGTCAATACCAGCTGCCCAGAATTGGTCACACCTGGCACATGCTATTCTCTGGTTAGATGACATACATTTGCTCCTAACATACTGTTCAACTGGATTCCAGGGATGGCACTGGATAAGCACTCAACCATAAAGTCCACTGAAACTGCAAAATTGGTGTTACAAATTCACCAGCCACCCCTTAGA